TAACTTACCCTACGGGAAGTTAAAAATTGCTCAACTGAAACTGTAAACTAGTTAATATATCTATGTACGAGCTCACACATTTCACGATGAAATGACCTTTTTTATCGCAGGCTGAACAATCATCTAGCTTTTTATTGCGTTTTTACATGTCTTAACCATTGCATCTTTCTACTAAGCTTTTTATAGTATCCTTTATTTTTTTCTCCATTATTTGGGCCGCCTGCCACCTTCAAACAATTCATCACCAATGCAATCTTCTTCAACTCACTCTTCATCAGCGCACTTTCCTCTTCAACGCGCTCGTATCCAGGGCAGTCCACCGGGGCACTCATCTTCAATGAATTGCCTCAATTGTAATTTTCTTGCTTACGCATTGTCTCCAATGCTTTATTTTTTTCAGGACCTTCATCAGCTTCTTCCTACGAATTGCCTTCAATGTCCTGTGTATATTATTGTGATATTAGCTTTTAAATTTTTTTTAAACATTTGAGACCAAAATAAGAAAAAAGTATATATGTGTGTTACTGTATGTGATCCAAATTATGAGTCTTCGTCAAAAACGGCTTCGTCAAAAACGCATAAGGACTCGCGCTGATTAATTTCGGGAGACGATCAGGCCGTTATTTCGTAGTAATTTGTTATGAAAGAAAATGACAATTCTCATTTTATGAGTTACAAACTTTTTGAGTTTAGGACCTGCGACAAATGCTTTAATTTAAAATAATAAAAAAATGGATCACGTTTCTTTGACTATTATTTGTCAAAAAATAAGTAATATTAGGTTGTCAAATGTCTCCCTTCCGCTTTTTTGCTCTTGGTTTATAATACAAAAAGGCGGAAGGGAGATATTTGACAACCTAATATGTTTCTTATGCAGTAGTTTCTTACCCATCCCACAAACAACTTATAAAACACTCCTAAATTAATATATTGATTCCTTACACATTCAAGTCGATTATTTGCGGATATCGGAATGCTAATGCAACTTTTCCCAAGTCAAATGTATGCTTGAATATTCTGTTATTATAACATTTTTCCATGCTTGTTTATATGTAAAATAGGCCTGATCGCACAGCAAATAAATAGACAATTTCACAGTTTTCACTACAAAGTGACAAGTATATGACTAATATATTGTTTTAAATAAAAATACTCAATAGGATATTACATTGGTATCTAAAAATACTGTTTCAAACTTTTTAAAATATGGAAAATGATTATGTTTCAACACATCAGATACAGGCAATACAATTAATTATAATATTGAAACATGATCTTTAACGAATTTTCTCATTCTTGCACCAACGTTTGGTTATGATGAAAAGTCCGTAATAGTCGATACTGATTGTGAGTAGTATCGATACCTTTGTCTCGATGCTATTTTAGCATCGATAAATTGCTGTTTCATTTCCATGTTTTTTATATAAACGTAATTTCATTTTTTATATTTGTACATGTAACTTTTAATTTTATATACATTTTTTAAAACAATAATAATACCGGATTTAAACACAATATACCGAAATACATCGAGTTCTTTTTTATCCCTAAACGCGACATCCGGTTTCAATAGAACGTACTACGAATTAGCCAGGATTTAAAGATAAATCCATGTTTCTTATAACAAATTATTTTATATCCAATAAATATATTAAATTCAATATTGCATTATAAATGATTATGATATAAATGCATCAAAATTGTAAGATTGTACGGAGCAGCAGAGTTGTAAGAAACCAATATCGGATCGGTCAGGATATGACTCCGCATCAGGGAGGAGTTATATCCGCTTAACAACTCCGACGGCTCCGTCAATACTGGAACTTATTACTCACATAACTATAATATGATCCATGATGCATCGTTCTTATATCTAAGGATATGCAACCAACATCATTTGAAAACCGTTTAGAAGTAGTTAAAACATATTTGTTCATCTTATATATAAAATTCTTCTGTAATGATGCATGTCCTCCTAAACGATTATTCGGATTTACATAAATACTTCTGAAGTTTGTTATGGGATTTTTTTAGTGTGTATAGTTTATAAAAAATATAGTAATATTGCAGAAATAAATCGAAAAAAATGCAAATAACAACATATCATTGTTTGACATTGAAAACATTTTGATACAAGAGAACTGTCATCTGCCAAAAATGTCGATTCACTTGAAATTTGAATTTAGTTTAAGCGAGCCTAGACAATATTAGTATATAATATCCATTTTCATGATTATGAATAAGAAAAATGGAATATCTACACTAGAGATGGGCTTATTATATCCGAAGCCGGATCGACTCGGATTTGACTCCGCTTCACGGTGGAGTTATATCCGCTAAACAACTCCACGACTCCGACAACTTTGAACCCGAAATACTCGAAACAAATGTGTTCTATAGTACGCTGTTTATGTATCTAAGGATTTGTCAAATCCCATTAATTATTTGAAATAAAAATTTATGAATAATTATCAATAAAATAATTTTTCTAAAAAATTCACGAATAAATGACGGATTGTAAAATTTCTCGGTCGACCAGATGATCGACTCAGTGACTCGTATTTTTAGCAGTGTTGACCAGAGTAAAAACGCAAAACTTGAGAATCAAATTCAATTTAATGATTTCCTTTTGATAAAAAATAAATGATTTTTTGGATTAATTTTATATAAAATTATGTAGTAAACTTTGTAATAAAAGCAAAACATAATACTTCTGCTTTCAAAATTTTTCTTCTGCTAATTTCCATTTGAGAATTAATATTATATCGCGTAGTTCGATTAGCATATTATTACTTTTACACAATTATATTATTGTGTAAAAGTAATAATATAATACTGAATATTTTTACTGCTTAAACCTAATGATATCACTGATAAATTTTGTACTCTAAAGTGTTGTTATTTCAGGCTATGGAAAAACAAGATTAAATAAATGTATTTCGTTTCGTATATTTTTGCCGTCATTTACGGCCAAAGATTGCCGTAGTTAGAAATATGACCCCTAACTATTCAATAAATTATACATTTGAGCTATTCACACTTGAGTACAATTTCATTGTTCTGTATCTTTAAGTAACATTTTTTATATTTTCTGGAAAATACACAATGGTATTTATTTTGACTTTTATACCTAAAAAAGGTCATAAACTGCCTGCGAGACAAGAAGTGACCTCTTCCTTCCCAAATCAAAAACGACAAAAAACACTAAATGCCTGTACGAGTTAACAGATTTAATACCAGTTTAACGAAGTCGGATATGACAATCCTGTGAAACAACTCCACTCGGATTCACTCCGAGGGAGGAGTTGTATCCGAGTGATAACTCCGGAGTGAGTTACCCATCTCTAATCTACACTATAATAGCTGAAAAGCACTGAGTTGTGC